TCCCCCAGCCTCAATACTCTCCCCCAGCCTCAATCCTCTCCCCCAGCCTCAATACTCTCCCCCAGCCTCAATCCTCTCCCCCAGCCTCAATACTCTCCCCCAGCCTCAATACTCTCCCCCAGCCTCAATACTCTCCCCCAGCCTCAATCCTCTCCCCCAGCCTCAATACTCTCCCCCAGCCTCAATACTCTCCCCCAGCCTCAATCCTCTCCCCCAGCCTCAATCCTCTCCCCCAGCCTCAATACTCTCCCCCAGCCTCAATCCTCTCCCCCAGCCTCAATCCTCTCCCCCAGCCTCAATACTCTCCCCCAGCCTCAATCCTCTCCCCCAGCCTCAATACTCTCCCCCAGCCTCAATCCTCTCCCCCAGCCTCAATCCTCTCCCCCAGCCTCAATCCTCTCCCCCAGCCTAAATACTCTCCCCCAGCCTCAATCCTCTCCCCCAGCCTCAATCCTCTCCCCCAGCCTCAATCCTCTCCCCCAGCCTCAATACTCTCCCCCAGCCTCAATACTCTCCCCCAGCCTCAATCCTCTCCCCCAGCCTCAATACTCTCCCCCAGCCTCAATCCTCTCCCCCAGCCTCAATACTCTCCCCCAGCCTCAATACTCTCCCCCAGCCTCAATCCTCTCCCGCAGCCTCAATCCTCTCCCCCAGCCTCAATCCTCTCCCCCAGCCTCAATACTCTCCCCCAGCCTCAATCCTCTCCCCCAGCCTCAATACTCTCCCCCAGCCTCAATCCTCTCCCCCAGCCTCAATACTCTCCCCCAGCCTCAATCCTCTCCCCCAGCCTCAATACTCTCCCCCAGCCTCAATACTCTCCCCCAGCCTCAATACTCTCCCCCAGCCTCAATCCTCTCCCCCAGCCTCAATCCTCTCCCCCAGCCTCAATACTCTCCCCCAGCCTCAATCCTCTCCCCCAGCCTCAATACTCTCCCCCAGCCTCAATACTCTCCCCCAGCCTCAATCCTCTCCCCCAGCCTCAATCCTCTCCCCCAGCCTCAATACTCTCCCCCAGCCTCAATCCTCTCCCCCAGCCTCAATCCTCTCCCCCAGCCTCAATCCTCTCCCCCAGCCTCAATTCTCTCCCCCAGCCTCAATACTCTCCCCCAGCCTCAATCCTCTCCCCCAGCCTCAATACTCTCCCCCAGCCTCAATCCTCTCCCCCAGCCTCAATCCTCTCCCCCAGCCTCAATCCTCTCCCCCAGCCTCAATACTCTCCCCCAGCCTCAATACTCTCCCCCAGCCTCAATCCTCTCCCCCAGCCTCAATACTCTCCCCCAGCCTCAATACTCTCCCCCAGCCTCAATCCTCTCCCCCAGCCTCAATACTCTCCCCCAGCCTCAATCCTCTCCCCCAGCCTCAATACTCTCCCCCAGCCTCAATCCTCTCCCCCAGCCTCAATCCTCTCCCCCAGCCTCAATCCTCTCCCCCAGCCTCAATCCTCTCCCCCAGCCTCAATACTCTCCCCCAGCCTCAATCCTCTCCCCCAGCCTCAATACTCTCCCCCAGCCTCAATCCTCTCCCCCAGCCTCAATACTCTCCCCCAGCCTCAATACTCTCCCCCAGCCTCAATCCTCTCCCCCAGCCTCAATACTCTCCCCCAGCCTCAATACTCTCCCCCAGCCTCAATCCTCTCCCCCAGCCTCAACCCTCTCCCCCAGCCTCAATCCTCTCCCCCAGCCTCAATACTCTCCCCCAGCCTCAATCCTCTCCCCCAGCCTCAATACTCTCCCCCAGCCTCAATCCTCTCCCCCAGCCTCAATACTCTCCCCCAGCCTCAATACTCTCCCCCAGCCTCAATACTCTCCCCCAGCCTCAATACTCTCCCCCAGCCTCAATACTCTCCCCCAGCCTAAATACTCTCCCCCAGCCTCAATCCTCTCCCCCAGCCTCAATACTCTCCCCCAGCCTCAATACTCTCCCCCAGCCTCAATCCTCTCCCCCAGCCTCAATCCTCTCCCCCAGCCTCAATACTCTCCCCCAGCCTCAATCCTCTCCCCCAGCCTCAATCCTCTTCCCCAGCCTCAATCCTCTCCCGCAGCCTCAATACTCTCCCCCAGCCTCTATACTCTCCCCCAGCCTCAATCCTCTCCCCCAGCCTCAATACTCTCCCCCAGCCTCAATCCTCTCCCCCAGCCTCAATCCTCTCCCCCAGCCTCAATACTCTCCCCCAGCCTCAATACTCTCCCCCAGCCTCAATCCTCTCCCCCAGCCTCAATACTCTCCCCCAGCCTCAGTCCTCTCCCCCAGCCTCAATACTCTCCCCCAGCCTCAATACTCTCCCCCAGCCTCAATACTCTCCCCCAGCCTCAATACTCTCCCCCAGCCTCAATACTCTCCCCCAGCCTCAATACTCTCCCCCGGCCTCAATCCTCTCCCCCAGCCTCAATCCTCTCCCCCAGCCTCAATACTCTCCCCCAGCCTCAATACTCTCCCCCAGCCTCAATCCTCTCCCCCAGCCTCAATACTCTCCCCCAGCCTCAATACTCTCCCCCAGCCTCAATCCTCTCCCCCAGCCTCAATACTCTCCCCCAGCCTCAATACTCTCCCCCAGCCTCAATACTCTCCCCCAGCCTCAATAGTCTCCCCCAGCCTCAATACTCTACCCCAGCCTCAATACTCTCCCCCAGCCTCAATCCTCTCCCCCAGCCTCAATCCTCTCCCCCAGCCTCAATACTCTCCCCCAGCCTCAATACTCTCCCCCAGCCTCAATCCTCTCCCCCAGCCTCAATACTCTCCCCCAGCCTCAATACTCTCCCCCAGCCTCAATCCTCTCCCCCAGCCTCAATCCTCTCCCCCAGCCTCAATCCTCTCCCCCAGCCTCAATACTCTCCCCCAGCCTCAATACTCTCCCCCAGCCTCAATCCTCTCCCCCAGCCTCAATCCTCTTCCCCAGCCTCAATCCTCTCCCCCAGCCTCAATACTCTCCCCCAGCCTCAATCCTCTCCCCCAGCCTCAATACTCTCCCCCAGCCTCAATCCTCTCCCCCAGCCTCAATACTCTCCCCCAGCCTCAATCCTCTCCCCCAGCCTCAATACTCTCCCCCAGCCTCAATACTCTCCCCCAGCCTCAATACTCTCCCCCAGCCTCAATCCTCTCCCCCAGCCTCAATCCTCTCCCCCAGCCTCAATACTCTCCCCCAGCCTCAATCCTCTCCCCCAGCCTCAATACTCTCCCCCAGCCTCAATACTCTCCCCCAGCCTCAATCCTCTCCCCCAGCCTCAATCCTCTCCCCCAGCCTCAATACTCTCCCCCAGCCTCAATCCTCTCCCCCAGCCTCAATCCTCTCCCCCAGCCTCAATCCTCTCCCCCAGCCTCAATACTCTCCCCCAGCCTCAATACTCTCCCCCAGCCTCAATACTCTCCCCCAGCCTCTATACTCTCCCCCAGCCTCAATCCTCTCCCCCAGCCTCAATACTCTCCCCCAGCCTCAATCCTCTCCCCCAGCCTCAATCCTCTCCCCCAGCCTCAATACTCTCCCCCAGCCTCAATACTCTCCCCCAGCCTCAATACTCTCCCCCAGCCTCTATACTCTCCCCCAGCCTCAATCCTCTCCCCCAGCCTCAATACTCTCCCCCAGCCTCAATCCTCTCCCCCAGCCTCAATCCTCTCCCCCAGCCTCAATACTCTCCCCCAGCCTCAATACTCTCCCCCAGCCTCAATCCTCTCCCCCAGCCTCAATACTCTCCCCCAGCCTCAATCCTCTCCCCCAGCCTCAATACTCTCCCCCAGCCTCAATACTCTCCCCCAGCCTCAATGCTCTCCCCCAGCCTCAATACTCTCCCCCAGCCTCAATACTCTCCCCCAGCCTCAATACTCTCCCCCAGCCTCAATCCTCTCCCCCAGCCTCAATACTCTCCCCCAGCCTCAATACTCTCCCCCAGCCTCAATACTCTCCCCCAGCCTCAATGCTCTCCCCCAGCCTCAATACTCTCCCCCAGCCTCAATCCTCTCCCCCAGCCTCAATCCTCTCCCCCAGCCTCAATACTCTCCCCCAGCCTCAATCCTCTCCCCCAGCCTCAATACTCTCCCCCAGCCTCAATACTCTCCCCCAGCCTCAATCCTCTCCCCCAGCCTCAATCCTCTCCCCCAGCCTCAATACTCTCCCCCAGCCTCAATCCTCTCCCCCAGCCTCAATCCTCTCCCCCAGTCTCAATCCTCTCCCCCAGCCTCAATACTCTCCCCCAGCCTCAATACTCTCCCCCAGCCTCTATACTCTCCCCCAGCCTCAATCCTCTCCCCCAGCCTCAATACTCTCCCCCAGCCTCAATCCTCTCCCCCAGCCTCAATCCTCTCCCCCAGCCTCAATACTCTCCCCCAGCCTCAATCCTCTCCCCCAGCCTCAATACTCTCCCCCAGCCTCAATCCTCTCCCCCAGCCTCAATACTCTCCCCCAGCCTCAATACTCTCCCCCAGCCTCAATTCTCTCCCCCAGTCTCAATACTCTCCCCCAGCCTCAATACTCTCCCCCAGCCTCAATCCTCTCCCCCAGCCTCAATCCTCTCCCCCAGCCTCAATACTCTCCCCCAGCCTCAAAACTCTCCCCCAGCCTCAATCCTCTCCCCCAGCCTCAATACTCTCCCCCAGCCTCAATACTCTCCCCCAGCCTCAATCCTCTCCCCCAGCCTCAATCCTCTCCCCCAGCCTCAATACTCTCCCCCAGCCTCAATACTCTCCCCCAGCCTCAATACTCTCCCCCAGCCTCAATACTCTCCCCCAGCCTCAATCCTCTCCCCCAGCCTCAATCCTCTCCCCCAGCCTCAATACTCTCCCCCAGCCTCAATACTCTCCCCCAGCCTCAATCCTCTCCCCCAGCCTCAATACTCTCCCCCAGCCTCAATACTCTCCCCCAGCCTCAATCCTCTCCCCCAGCCTCAATACTCTCCCCAGCCTCAATCCTCTCCCCCAGCCTCAATACTCTCCCCCAGCCTCAATACTCTCCCCCAGCCTCAATCCTCTCCCCCAGCCTCAATACTCTCCCCCAGCCTCAATACTCTCCCTCACCTGCTTTCAGTGTGCAGCACCGTCTCAATGTTCTCTTGCAACGATCTCACACCCAGCTTCAGCATCTGAAGCGCCTCCATCACGTCATGCCGCATGCCCCTGCCACCACCACCTCCACCAGACCCTATCCCTCCCCCCCCTCCTCCTGCTCTTGCTGCTGCTCCTGCTCCTGACCTTCCTTTCCCCGCTTTCACTAAAGTCACGCCCTTCATAATTTCAACAGTAGCACTGCTGTTTGTCTGCAATTTGTCTGCTGTCACATCCTTTATAATCACTTCCGTGCCCTTTGCGTTACTAGCTCCCCCTAAACCAGCCATTTCCTCTCCTCTCGAACTCACTCTCACTAACTCTCCCACTCCATCCCCCTCCTCTTCCCCCTCCTCTTCCCCCTCCTTTTCCCACTCCTTCACCCCCTCCTCCTCCTTCCGCTTCTTCATCTCCTTCCACTTTGCATCAATCTCTTTCTCCTTCCTCGCAACATCCCACTCCCGCTTCTCAACTGCCCCTATTCTCTTTATCACCTCCTCCTCCCACGCTTGCACCTCTGCCTGCTGCCGCTGCAACGCCGTCATCTGTTCTTCCAACGTCCCCATCACCCCGTCACTTTCCCCCTTTCCCTGCTCCAGTGCTGCCCTATCCTTCCCTCCATCTCCTCCTCCCTCCCCATGTATAGGCCCCTCTCCCTGCCCCTCTCTCCCTCCCTGCTCTTTGCCCTTCTCCTGCCCTTTATCAACCCCACTGTCCCCTCTCTCTTCCCCATCCTCCATCCCATTGGCCCCAGCCACTCCTCGCCTTTGCCCCATGCCCCCATCCTCCCTCACACGCCCTGCTTCTCTGTCTTCTTGACCCCACTCCTCCTTGATTTCCCCCCTGCTTCCTCCCACCAATTGCTGCCCTGAATTGCCACGTGGCGTCATCTGATTGATGCAGTGGAATCGTGAATGAATCAGGGCAAGGGAGTTAAGGGAGAAGAGAAGGACGAAAAGGAAGGGGAGATGACGTGCAAAGAAAGGGAGGTATAAGAAGAGAAGAAAGAAAATGAGACGGAAGGTTGGAAGCAGAATAGCAAGAGGGAGAAGCATAGCGGTTAGGGCGAGAAGCTAGTGGGCGGAAGGGCAAGCCAGGGAGAGGAGACAGATCAGTGAGAGAAGGGAGAGGGAGGAGAAAAGAGAGGGCAAAGAGAGGACGGAAAGGAGGGAACGGAGGGAGAGGCGAAAGAAAGGAAGGCGAGGGGGGAGAGAACGGAGGGGAAGGAGACATGAAGAAAGACGACCTCCTGCAGCTTGCGAGGCGATGAGAGGGTAGAGCCAGAGGCAGAGGGCGGAGAGAGCAGCAGGCGGTGGGTGGCAGAATACAGGTAAAACGTCCACGTCAGCAGGCCCAGGGCCACGACAAACACCGCCGCCCAGGATGACGTCACTGCCGCCCAGCGCTGCCGCCTGGAGGACCGGCGGCGAGAGGGCTTCTTGGAAGGTGCTGCTGATGGAGGGTTGGGGGGAAGTTGTCGCGTTTACCCCTTTAACAATTGGGCAATTTGGAAGTAAAACAAGCTGCGATCCTAAACACCTCCGAACCATTGACGACTGGGTTGTGGGCAAACCGGGGGCAATCAAGATGCCTTTTTTGAGTCGAATATAAAAATCGAATTAGCTGGAACATCAATGGAAGAAACTCGCCTGCCGCTCTTGTAGTAGATTCCGCCATTCTGGTTGAATATTGAGAATTCTCCGTCATTCTAAAATAATTCCGAAAACGATCAACTGTAACACAGGGCTGATTGGGATTTTCGCCGGTGATACTGACTCCTTTCACATCCCAGTAGCCTGGAGATCATCGGCTACGTGTCTCACTGCCATTCGTTGCATAGCGAAGATCGTAGCGATGGGTTTCTTGATTTGACGTAATCTGTTGCGTCAGTAATCGTTGACATAGCCTGCTAGCAAGACATCCATTGCTCATCGAATACTAAGTGTACGAAACCATTGCAATCGTTGACATAGCCTGCTAACAAGACATCCATTGCTCATCGAATACTAAGTGTACGAAACCATTGCAATCGATGACATAGCCTAACTACGGGTGTAACTTCGCGCGAATTCCTAGCAGGCGTTGATGTTGCAGGCGTCGTCCGCGTTTCACGGACGAAAGATGATGGTTTTTTTGTTCGCGACGAACCCATGCAAGATGTCGCATAATTTACGCTTCGAGATTCGAACACGGAATCTTTCTCGATAGCTCCCAGCCGCAGATGAGAACTCCGCCTCTCTGCACCACTCGTATCGTACACTGCACAAACGCGTTCTAAATGTGACGTCGTTTCCATGAAGTAATTTCGTTCTTGGTAACCATCACGCAATAAAAATGTGGAATAACATAACTGTTATAAGTTGTGAAAGGAAAGAGTGCGCAGAACTCAATAATGCGGAAGTGATTACAACGTCTGAATGAACAACGAGGCCTAGGCACAATATAGCAAGGCTAGCTAGGCCGAGGTCGCGGGGTCGCGAGATGGTTGGGTGCAGGTTCGGGGTTGGAAAACCCGAAAGCGACGCGGTGGTGGCTCGGAAGGCGAGGTCGGCGGGCCGAGCCTGGTTTTCCGAAAGTCGGGGTTGTACGCGTACAGTGTGACCCAGTAAGGAATCCGGAAAATTCCTTACACTACCCCCCCCTTTAAGAAAGGTGGTGAATATCCGAAACACCTCGGCGGCCAGGTAAACGTCCAAAACCGGGTGTCCCAGTAGTGAATTAGCAGCGACATACGTGTCGTCCTCGCTCGTGCGGTCTTTCCAGCGAAGTAGTAATTTCACCGAGCGGCCGGCGGCAGTCACATCCACGCGATGGTTAAGAATCTTCCAAGGTTCCAGCGTTGGCTCTGCCACGGGGCGAGTGGTCGGCGCGATGGTTGGTCGAGCAACAGCTGGCGACTGCGGCTGTTCGTAATGACGCAACAGGCTGACGTGGAAGGCGTCATGGATTTTCCAATCGTCGGGCAGCAGCAGCTTCGCGGTGACAGGTGTCACCATCTGGATGATACGGAATGGTCCCACGTATCGGGGCCGTAATTTCGCGGGCTGCGGCAGCCGAAGGTTCTTGGTGTCCAGAAGTACAACCTGCCCTGTGCGGAAGGGTAAATTTCGTCGGTGTTTATCCGCCTGGCGACTGGCCGTGGTATTAGCCTTGCGAATGAAATCGGCTGCTTTCGTTCGGGCGGTTTGCAGTTCCGTGACAAACTGCTGCGATCTTGGTACCGGGTTGTCCACAGTCGTTGAAGAGGGTACCACGGGGTCTATCCCGTAATTCAGGAAGAAGGGTGATTGTTTAGTCGTGGCCGACGGGGCGTTGTTGTACGCGAATTCCAGCATCGGCAGCGAATCTTCCCACTTGCGAATGTCGGGGCAGTTGGTGCGAATCAGCTGTTCCATGGTCTGATTTGTCCGTTCCGTCTGTCCGTCGGTTTGCGGGTGGTATGACGACGAAAACTGCAGGCGGGTACCGTACTGTGCCCACGTTTCCTGCCAGAACTTCGACGTAAATTTCGGATCACGATCGCTGATGATCGCCGAAGGTAACCCGTGTAGGCCTACGACGGTGGAGATGAACAGTTTGGCTGTATCTTCGGCTGTGATCGTCGTTCGGCATGGGGCGAAATGCGCCATCTTCGTTAGGCGATCGACGACGACCAACACCGAGTCGTTGCCACTTGTGCCAGCTGGGAGCCCCGTGACGAAATCCATCGTCACCTGTTGCCACGGTCGTTCGGGTGGCGCGAGGGGTTGCAGCAGTCCGGCCGGCCTTTGTCGCGACGACTTCATTGCTTGGCAGGTCGGGCAAGTTGACACGTAGCGCTGCACATCGGTCTGCATGTCCGGCCAGTAATAATTCCGCTGCAGCAGCTTCAGTGTCTTGTCGGTGCCGAAATGCCCGGAGAGGTTGGAGTCGTGAACCTCCTGCGTCAGCAGCTCCTGTAAAGGCTGGTATGCTGGTACCCAAATCCGGTTCGTACCGGTTTTTAGGTAGTATTTGCCGTGCGGTGTAGCAGCCTGTTGTTGCGGGTTCCGAAAAAACCTGTCGATCTTGTAGCCGTGGGTGAATAGTCCTGTTAGCATCGGGTTGGTGTGGGCGATTAGTACTGCCGCGTTTTGCATGGATGGTCGGGTAAGGGCGTCGGCGATGTTGTTGGCGCCCTTTTTGTACGTGATGGTGTACCGGAAATTGGATTCGAGGAAGTCCAACCACCGGATTTGTCGCGGGTTGAGTGTCGGTTGCGTGCGCATGTACTGTAGTGATTTATGGTCGGTCCGAATCGTCACGTCGGCTCCTGTGAGGTAGCAGCGCCAGACGCGAAATGCATGGACGATGGCCAGCATTTCTTTGTCGTGGACTGGGTAGTTGCGCTCAGGTGGCTGCATCTTGCGTGACTCGTAGGCGATGGGTTGCAGCCCTTGGCCGAAGTCTTGTAGCAGGACGGCGCCGATGGCGAAATCGCTGGCGTCCGTGACGACTTCGAACGGTCGAGATGGATCGGCGAGGCGGAGTACCGGGGGTGAACCCAAAATGTTTTTGAGGGCGTCGAAGGCGGATTGCTCCCTCTCCCCCCACCTGAAATCGCTGTCGTGGTGCAGCAGGTCGGTCAGCGGCTTGGTTATCCCTGCCATATTGGGTACAAAACGACGAACGTAGTTAACAAACCCCAGAAAACTTTGCAACTCAGGGATATTAGTAGGCGGCTTCCACTGAACGATGGCGTCCACCTTACGCGGGTCGATTTTAATCCCTTCGCCAGAAACCACGTGCCCCAAAAACTCTAATTCCGGCTTCAGGAACTCACACTTAGACCCTTTTGTAATTAGCCGATGCCCCTGTAAACGCCGGAACACCTCCTCTAAATCCCGCAGATGGTCCTCTTTTGTCGCGCTGTACACCAGTATATCGTCCAGGTACACGATGACCTTCTTGTCCAGCATGTCCCGAAAAATTCCATTCATGGTGAGCTGGAACGTCGAGGACGCGTTTGTCAGGCCGAACGGCATCACTGTGAACTCGTAACTGCCGTAGCGTGTGCGGAAAGCGGTCTTCGGGCAGTCGTCGGCGAATACGCGAATTTGGTGGTAGCCTCCTCGCAGGTCGATTTTCGAAAAATATCGAGCTCCGCGAAGTTGATCCAGCAGATCGTCGGTTCGCGGGATCGGGTAACGCGACTTTATCGTGACCCGATTCAGCGCCCGATAATCAATGCACATGCGTAGGCCACCGTCCTTCTTCGGCGTGAACAGTATCGGTGCTGCATACGGCGACGTGCTGGGCCGGATAAATCCCTTGGCGAGCAGGTAATCCAGCTGGGCCCGCAACTCGGCGAGTTCTGGTTGACTGAGCCGCCACTGTGTCCGCACAGTAGGTTGCGCGCCGGGCTCCAGTTGGATCCGATGATCCTCAGGTCGTTGGGGGGGCAAACCATCCGGGAGGTCATCCGCGAAAATTTGGGGATACTTCCGAATAATGCTCGCCAATTCCTCGGGGACTGCCGCGCAGAGGGTGTCGATGTCCGCGATTTTCTCGGAAGCTGCCACTTTGTACAGGTGCACTAAGAAGGCCTGAGCTCCGCTGTTCATCGCACGCTGCATGTTGACCGCGTTGACACGTGTCGTCACCGGCTCCGGCTCCGTCCATTTCGGAAGCGTCGTCTTCCCTCCGTATCCTCGCACGACGCACGCCCCAGTCGTCCAGTCGATCGTCGGATTGAAGCGCTGCAGCCAATCCCTCCCCAGCAGCACATCGCAGCCGTCCAACGTCGTCGCCAACATCCTCATGCCAAACCCGAATTTGTCGCCGCACTGTATCCGAATTTTTCGCGCCTCATCTCGGATGGCCAGCGGTGTCCCGTCCACCAACCTTGCATCGATCTCTGGCAGACACCTGGTCAGCTTCACCCCTATTTTTTGGCCGTTGCCAGGTTGACGAGACTGTGGCTCGCCCCACCGTCAACGAAAATTTTAATTTTATAACCGTTAACCCTCCCTACCACCAGCACAGGGTAATCCACGTGTTCACCCACGTTATTCGTCCGGTTCTGGTCGATAGCGCTGATCGGTACCACGACCCGGTGTGGATGGTGATTGTCGGGCGACAGGGTCTCGTCAGTAGGTGGCCCGTCTGCTACTGACTCGTATCTTTTCCCGACCCTTCTCCGTCGTTCTTCTTCCCCTGCTTAAGCCTCGGGCAGTCTTTTTTCAGGTGGCCCAGCTGGTTGCATAAAAAGCACGGCCCAAGGGCTCTGCTAGGTGCATCCACGCCGTTGATCGTGGGCTGCTGAGTCGGTCCACGAAATCGAGGGCCCTCCCGGGAGCTCGATCTCGCCCACTGCATCAGCGCATCCGTTGACTCGGCTTCCCGGACGGCGTCGTTGAAGCTGCGTGGCCGGGTTCGTCGGACCTCGTACTGTATCTCGTATTTCAGGCCCGCCACGTAGCGATCCAACCGCTCCGCGTCGCTCATGTCGTCCACCTGGTCCGCCAAGTTGCAGAATTTGCTGGTGTAGTCTTGGACTGAAGTCAGCTGCTTCCAGGTACGCAGCTGCATGCGAGCAGAGTCCGAGGCGGATACGTGCTCGAATCTGGTTCGCAAGGCGGCGCCCCACTCCTTCCATGTGCGTATCGTGGCCGTCCCGAAAATCGATGTTGCCTGATGCGTGACAGGTGTTGAAGTCCCGTCGTTCGCACGTGCTATCCCTGCCGAAGTCCCTTCGTGTTGCAGTGTTCGCCTCCACCACTCCAGCGCAGGTCCTCGCAACAGTGAAACTGCGAAATTAATGCGGGTGGCGTCGTCATAAATCATAGCAGCATTAAAGAACACTTCCACACCGAATAACCATGCGGAAACAGTGACAAACTTGTCACTCGGGTTAAATGGGGGCGGGTTTGTCGGCTTGATTTTCACAAAAGCCGTTGCTGCCATCGGGGCCATTGGCATTGCTGCTGGCGTCGCCGTCGTCGTCGCTGCTGCACGTGGTGGTACTGCACGCGATTGTTGTGGCGACTGTTCCTGCTGCGCCTGCCTCGCTTCGTCCGCATCCATCTCGCCTTCCAGCTCGCTCCAGACCCGCTCATCTGGTGTAGTGCTGCTACTTGCGTCGTCCACGACAGGCGACTCCTGGCGCGCTTCACCACGCGCCTGGTGTAGTTCGGTGTTTTCCTTCCGTAGACGCTCCATCTCTGCAGTCATACCCTGCAAGTTGGCCTGCATCGCACGGAACTGTTGCATGAACTCGTTGAACTCGGCCTGCTCCATGTGCCTCAGGCTTCGTCGAACGGGCAGGGGGTGGCTCGCGATTTTTCTGACTTCGGTGAAGGCGTTAATGCTATCGTAGTCGGAGTGGAATAATCAGATCTATTCCACGGGCCGACCGCTTAACAGCCCACCAAGTCTATCGCTCCCCTTCTACAAACTACCCCGGAAACGCGAGGGTAACCTAGGACTTTAGGCTCTGATACCAAGTGTTATAAGTTGTGAAAGGAAAGAGTGCGCAGAACTCAATAATGCGGAAGTGATTACAACGTCTGAATGAACAACGAGGCCTAGGCACAATATAGCAAGGCTAGCTAGGCCGAGGTCGCGGGGTCGCGAGATGGTTGGGTGCAGGTTCGGGGTTGGAAAACCCGAAAGCGACGCGGTGGTGGCTCGGAAGGCGAGGTCGGCGGGCCGAGCCTGGTTTTCCGAAAGTCGGGGTTGTACGCGTACAGTGTGACCCAGTAAGGAATCCGGAAAATTCCTTACAATAACAAACATGCTCACGCCTCCGTGTTGGCAAACCGGAAGTCTGTAGAAAACAGGTATCTGGATATGCAAATTATGTTTCATTAGTTACATATGTATATGGGTGGGGGCCGGAAGGAAGGTGGTTGCTTAATATCAATATAGTTCATTTATTGCACCACCAGCAACCCTCAAAACTTTGCACTAGCGGTAACATTTGCACTAACGGTAGCATTTCCACCCGTGTTGACAATACCACCCGCGGTATCATTTGTGCCTGCAGTAGCATTTGCAGCAGCCGTGGCATTAGTCGCCTTGTGAATGTGTTGCAAGGAAAACCTCACCCATCATAATGTTCCCTCCGAGCATCTTGTCACCACCACCATCACCATCACCCTCCCCCATGGCCTCATTATATGTCAACACATTCACCTCATGCTCACCCCAGCCTCCAACTCCCTCGCTTCCTCACTCTCCTTCCCTTCCTCCCCTCCCTCTTCTCCCTCTCCTCCTCCTTTTACCCCCACTCCTCTTCCATGTCCCTTTCGTTCCCTTCTCTCCTCACTCCCTTGCCTCCTCCTTCATTCAACAGCTGGGGCACGAGAGCCTCTAGCTGCCTGACACGTGTCTTCACCTCAGCCACACGTTTCCTGAGCCGCTTCCTCTCCTTGTGAACCGCCTGGGCTGAAATGACCGCCCATGCCACCTGCATGCGCTGCCGCAGCCACACTCCCATGGGCTACGGAGGACAGGAGGGCAAGGGAGCGAGGGGGAAGGGAGCGGCGGGAGGTGGGAGGTGGGAAGGGAGAGGTGGGAGGTGGGGAGGGGGAGGTGGGAGGGGAGGGCAAGGGATGGGAGGAGGAGGAAAGGGAAGAGTGGGGCGAGTGGGGTGGAAGATGTAGAGGGGCGGTGGGGACGCAAGTGGGTAAGAAGGCAGGCAGGTGTAAGAGCATGAGAACACTCCGTTCTGAAATCACTCCCCTCAGTTTGCTCATCCCTCCCCTGTGCCAGCTCATCCTCACCTTTGCCAGCTCATCCATCACCTTTGCCAGCTCATCTTTCACCTTTGCCAGCTCATCCCTCACCTTTGCCAGCTCATCCCTCACCTTTGCCAGCTCATCCCTCACCTTTGCCAGCTCATCCCTCCCCTGTGCCAGCTCATCCCTCACCTTTGCTGACTCATCCTTCACGAGCCCATCCCCATACTCGCTCATCATCGTGACATCAATCCTGTAATCCGGGGTATTGTCCGAAATCACCCCGGCGCGGTCCCCCCAGTAGTGGTTCAGCCTCAGCACCCCCGTATCAACCAATGGCGGCCGGCCATTCTCCATCATAGGCCACTGGTGGGGGCTGATGAAAACATCACCGCTGAGGTGCACAGCGAGGGGCAGCCATGCAATGGGCTTAGTGCGGAGGCGCCCGGAGGAGGTGGGCATGCGGTGGGTGTAGTGCTCTAGCAGTGTGTTGGTGTCTGAGCCGATTGGATCCCCAAGGAAGAACATGTTTTGAACCAGCACCTGTGAATGAGAGAACAGGAACGGGGGAAAGCAGGTGGTGCTGAGACGATGTGGGCATACGCAGGGTGTAGCGCTCCAGCAGTGTGTTGGTGTGAGAGCCTATTGGATCTCCAAGGAAGAACATGTTTTGAACCAGCACCTGTGAGGGAGAGATGTGAAGGGAAACAGGAAGGGGCAAGGAAACAGGTAGAGTGAGGCATGCGCAAGGTGTAGCGCTCTAGCAGCGTGTCGGTGTGAGAGCCTATTGGATCCCCCAGGATAAACATGTTCTGGACCAGAACCTGTATGCGTGGGAAGGGGAAGGGGAAGAAAGGGGTGAAGAGAGAGGATCTGAGAGGAGTTGGGATGCGTTGGGATGCGTTGGGATGCGCTGGGATGCGCTGGGATGCGCTGGGATGCGCTGGGATGCGCTGGGATGCGCTGGGATGCGCTGGGATGCGCTGGGATGCGCTGGGATGCGCTGGGATGCGTGTCAGAGGCTATTCGATCCCCAAGGAAGAACATGCTCTGGAGCAGAACCTGAGGGGGTATGAGGGGAGGGAAGGGGAGAGGGAGAGGAGGAGAGGAGGGATCAGTGTTGCACTTGAAAGGCGTCGCCCATAAGGTGTGCGGCGAGGGGCAGCCATGAATGGGTTTGGTGTGGTGGCGTTCGGCCGGAGGAGTCGAGCATGCGGAACGTGTAGCTCACGCGCTCACGAGCTCACACGCTCACGCGCTCACGCGCTCACGTGCTCACGCGCTCACGTGCTCACGGGCTCACGCGCTCACGCGCTCACGCGCTCACGTGCTCACGCGCTCACGTGCTCACGCGCTCACGTGCTCACCTACGTAGGCCGAAAATATATGCACCTGGTGGTGTTGCAGCCAGCAACAACGAAAACCACCCACCTGTACTGTTGTGTTTGGCAGCTTCTGCAGGTAGTGACGAAGAAAGCCGGGCGGCGTGCCGGCCGGGGAAAAGAAATACTCGTCGATATCTGTGTGGAAAGCCCAGTGCACCTCCGATGCATAGTGCTGGGAGGAAGAAGGGAAGGGAAGAGCGAGAGGGAGGAAGGAGAGAGGAGATCTCTGATGTGGAAGAAGGGAAAGGTTGTCGATATCGGTGTGGAAAGCCCAGTGCACCTCCGATGCATAGTGCTGGGAGGATGGGGCGGGAGACGGGGAGAGGAATGGGAAAAGGAGAGGGGAGGGAGAAGGGGAGGAGGAGAGAGAAATATTTGTCGATATCGGTGTGGAAAGCACCTCCGAAGCAGCCCCCTGCTTGCATCGGAACAGCCTCCCAAGATACCTCGTGAAGTTGAAACAGCATGTCAGACACATTCACTCAACAGTTCTCACACCTCTCATCACCCTCCCTCCCCCCTCCCCACCTGCACCCAGTGGTGGTAAGCTGCCCCCTGCTTGCATCGGAACAGCCTCCCAAGATAACTCGTGAAGTTGAATTGAAACAGCATGCTTTACACATTCACTCAACGCCTCTCCCTCTTCTCATAACCATCCCCCCTCCCCACCTGCAACCAGTGGTTGTAAGCAGCCCCCTGCTTGAACCGGAACAGCCTCTCCAGGTGGGCAGTGACGTTGCCCTTCGCAAATGGCAGCTCGCGCACAGGAATGGCGAGATGTGACTCGCAACTTTGCAGTGGCTGAATGTGGCACCCTGCTTGCATCTCAAGCTCCTCCCCAGATTCGCCAGATCCTTACAAGTAACAGGCTGACTTGTTACATCTAACCCCCCCCCTCCCCACCTGCACCCAGTGGTTGAATGCGGCACCCTGCTGGCACCGGAACATCCTTTCCAGGTACGCTGTGAAATAGGTATCAGACCTGGTGACTTACAAGGTCATGTCGAAAAACACATCATCTGTGGCATCCCATGGCTTGCCTTCTCCTTCCTGCACGCACCCTCCCTCCCTTCTTCTTCCAAGCTCTGTTCCTGTGATACCTTACCTGCTCCGCCTCAGCCTGCTCTGCTGGCTTTGCTTTCCTGCCCCCTTGCTGCTGTCGCTGCTCATATCTGTGGGCATCTCTCAGCTGCGCTGTGTGCAAGTTCTCCAAGGCTGCCGGGAGCATTTCCCGCATGTATCGTGCTCGTGTTTCTGCCAGCGCCACCCATTGTTCTGCTCCCTTCACGGTCAACTTTTGAGTCGACTCAAAAGTCAGCATTTTTTAGTCGACTCAAAAGTCAGCATTTTTTAGTCGGCTCAAAAGTCAGCATTTTTTAGTCCACTCAAAAGTCAGCATTTTTTAGTCGACTCAAAAGTCAGCATTTTTTAGTCGACTCAAAAGTCAGCATTTCCCGCATGTATCGTGCTCGTGTTTCTGCCATCGCCACCCATTGTTCTGCTCCCTTCACGCTCACCACCCCCGTCAGTACCCTTGGTGCTCCCACAGGAAGTATTGGTTCCTTTCCGTACAGCAGGCTATACGGGGAGTAGTCCTTTAGTGATGCCTGCTTCCCGAACCTGTACCATGCTTTTGAGTCGACTCAAAAGCATGCCTGCTTCCCGAACCTGTACCATGCTTTTGAGTCGACTCAAAAGCATGCCTGCTTCCCGAACCTGTACCATGCTTTTGAGTCGACTCAAAAGCATGCCTGCTTCCCGAACCTGTACCATGCTTTTGAGTCGACTCAAAAGCATGCCTGCTTCCCGAACCTGTACCATGCTTTTGAGTCGACTCAAAAGCATGCCTGCTTCCCGAACCTGTACCATGCTTTTGAGTCGACTCAAAAGCATGCCTGCTTCCCGAACCTGTACCATGCTTTTGAGTCGACTCAAAAGCATGCCTGCTTCCCGAACCTGTACCATGCTTTTGAGTCGACTCAAAAGCATGCCTGCTTCCCGAACCTGTACCATGCTTTTGAGTCGACTCAAAAGCATGCCTGCTTCCCGAACCTGTACCATGCTTTTGAGTCGACTCAAAAGCATGCCTGCTTCCCGAACCTGTACCCTGCCGCCACCCAGTCTAGCTCTTCATCCCAGTCTCTCTTCCGCTTCTCTCTGTACGCCCTCAGGTTCCGCTTCAAGGTCTGCACCAGTCGCTCAGTCAGCCCATCGCTCTGAGGAAGGTACCTTGATGTCTGCCTGTGTGTCACCCTTGCCTCGTCCAGCAGTGCCTGGAATCCCCCCTTGAACTCCGTGCCCTGATCAGTGAGTACTTCCCCTGGTATTCCTCCTTCCTCCCTGAACCCTGCTGCCCCCTAATACCCCACCAATGTCGGCCAGGCCCTGCGTACTGCTCCCACCTTGTTGCATGGGCACTGTGTCTCGTGCCTGCCCTTCTTTACCGGTGCCGCTGTCCTGCCTGGCTCTAATATCTCTTGCACCGTTCTACTCCAGTCCCTTCGTATCCCATCCAGCTCCTTCTGCAGTTGCTCGCCCGTCACGACATTTTGCCAGTACCTTCTGACACGGTGAGCCCCTGCCCCCAGCCTGGCCACGTCACACCTCACCCCCTTCCCCAGCTTCCTTGTCACTAACTCTCTGATTTTTCTGACTGGTTCCTGGCAGTCCCCCTCCAGGTCCAGGTGCTCCAGCAGGTACACCACCTTCTCCTGTGACCTGTCTTTCTTTGATCCAGTCAATGATGCACAGCAGATTGATTAGCAGTGCTCCCCTTGGATCTTCCAACCCCTTTCCCTTCCCTGCTCTTGAGACGGCTTGGCACTCCCACCCCGCTACCAGCAGGTCCACGTGCCCCCAGCCCCTCACCACTTCTCGTGTTACGTTCCTCACATCAGTCAACGTCCCTGCCATTGCTTTGCTTATCACTGTTTCCTCCAGTAGTTCAGGATACTCTTTCTGCAGCCTCCTTGCATGCTGTTCGGCCATCTTTCTTACTTGTCCGTCTTTCTCCACATATATCCACTCCCTCACCGCTACTCCCGCTCTGAGCACCGCTGCCAGCCCTGCTCCTATTCCCCCGAACAGCTCCACCAGCCTGATTGGTTCCTGCCATGCATTGGCTACAGCTGCTTCACCCACTAGGCCCGCTCTCCCTCTCCCCGCGCTTCCCGCTTGCTCGGCCGTGTACGCTCTTTTTGGCTCCTGTTTAGTGAATTGCACAGGCAGCTCACCCGTCTTGCTCCCCCGCACCCAATACTGCTTCCGAAACTTCAGTTTCTCCTTCCATGTGCAGATGGTCATCTCCACGCCCCAAATCAGGTCTGTCCCCAGCAGCACGTCGAAGTCTTCTGAGTCTGATATCCCGCATTGTAGCCGTATACTAGTCTGCTCCTCTCTTCCCGGCATTAGGACTATCTCCACTAGGTCCCTTGTACACGGCAGCCACTTGGGCTCGCCTCCCTCCGCGGTCATTACCTACATTCCTTGCTTTATGTATTGCCCTGCTTCAGTCAGCCCCAGCTTCCGTGCCAGCCTCTTCCCCAGCATCACGCTCTGCGCTCCCGTGTCCAAGATTGCTGTCTTTGCTATCTCTCCGCCCACTGCCACTGTTCCTGCTTCTGCCACCAGCACGGTTGCCTGGCTAGCTAGCCGATCCTTGGGATGCCTTGCTGGCTCTTCTCCTTCCTCACCCTTCTCCTCTGGCCTTTGTTTCGGTCTGCCCCTTTCCTTGGTCATGTGGTCCTTTCTCCCATCCCTGCCCCCGCTGCGCAGGCCCAGCTCTTCTCTGCTGCGGAGCACATGAAATTATACTCCGGCTCTGGTTCCTCAATTACCTCTGCCTCGTCATCGTCTTCCCTGGCATTTAACCCTGCCTCCTTCTCCTTTTCCCACCCATTGCCTGCAGCTGCGCCTGTAGCCTACCTATCTGACCCTCTATGTCCTCTAGAGTCCTCCTTGGCCCCCCTGTGCGTTGGTAACAGTCCTTTCCTTTGTGCCCCCGCTTCCCACAAACCTCGCATGTTGGTGCATCCGGGCAGTCCTTGCGGCGGTGTCCCGGCTTCCCGCAGGTGTCGCAGTTCCTACAATTCCTCATTAGATGCCCTGGCTACTTGCATAGGTGGCAGGTGCGCGTCTCAGCTCCTCGCTCCGCTCGGCCATTCTCCCTTCCCCCCGTCTCTGGCACTGCTGCTGCTGCCCAGGCGGGATTCCTCTTCTCAGTCGGCCTCGGTAGGTACACCTCATACTTCCGCTGCGCCAACTCCACTCTCTCTGCTAGCTCAAACACTTCTTCAGGTGTCGCCTCAGCCCCTAGCTCGTATACTCGCATCCTCAAGCCTCCTGCCAGCCCCTTGTCTAAGCCGTTCAAGAATTTGCTAATGATCATACTGCTGTCAGTGCACACCACATCCTCCGCCAGGTTCATCAACCGTCCGTAGTACGTTAGAAGTGGTTCCTCGTCCCGACGCCTGAACTCCTGGAACTCCCTAATGCGCTGGGCCGTGTGCCCCAGAAACTGCTTCCTCATCCGATCCAGGAACAGTACTGTTGGGTCCTCGCCATCCTCCTCCGCTCTCCTCAACCATTCTCCAATTTTCATGCGGTACATCGTCTCTACCTCCCCTCCTAGTGTGTTTGGCAGGCTTAAGAAGAACTCGATAGGGTCCATACCGCTCCGGTCACACCTGTACTTAACATTGCTTATCTGCATCAAGTAGTTCTTCAGGCTCGGGCATTCTCCGTGAAGCGCACCGGTACCTCCACTCTTGGCTGTGCCGTCGCGGCCCACCTCCCTGTGTCCCAGCTTCCTGATTATCCCCGATCTGACTGAACAGCTCCCCGCTGCCTCCCCTTATCTCCTCTGCTACCCGTACTGGTCCCGTACAGCATTCGCTCCAGCCCCTCGCGGGCTGCTCTCGCTCCTCCAGATCCTTCTCCGTATGGCCGTGGCCTCCTTGACCCTATCGGACTTGGGCTCCTCTTCCTATCATCTGCATGATCTTCTTTGCGCCTTTCCGCACCATCCCACTGCTCTGATTTCCATGCAGGCGAGCGCTCCTGGTGCCGCCGCTCAGGCTCTCCTCGCCGCCATTCTCTCTCTTCTTTTCTTAAACCATACGGCGATGGCTAGCCCCTTTCCTAGCCATGCCTTTCCGCATCCTGCCTCCGCTCCCTTCCGCGCGGGCTTCTCTGGCGCCGACCCTCGTAGTCTTCCTCCTCTTCTCGATTCTCGCGCTCCGCCCTTTGTCCTTCGCCCGCCGCCATTCGTCGTCGGCGCTCATACCTCGGTTCTGGTTCAGGCGAGCGGAAGACACCCGCATGTGCATCCCGTCCTCCTTCGCCTTCTCGCTTCGCCTTCGACCGGCGTTCCGCCCCCTTGGCGCTTCCTCGCGACGCGTCGTTTTCACGCCGCCTCACTGGTGAGTGCTCCTCGTTCTCCCGCGCCCCGCCGCGTCGGCCTGGTTCCTCATCTTCCTCTTCTTCGTCCGCTGCACTCGCCGAATCGAGCGACTGTATGTCAGCGTCGCCATCGTATTGGCGCGCGCGTCCTCTGTGCTGTCCCTCCGGCAGGTTCCACGGATCGCTCCTCGTTGGCCTTCTCCACGGCTCAGATCTGACGTGCGGATCCAGTCCGTCATCACCACGATGCCTGCCCGTAGGCTTCACCAATTCCGCACGGTACGCCGCCCTGCGGGGCGAACGCGTTGGCGATCTCCCGCGCTTCGATGAGCGCCTCCTTCGCGACGGCGAACGCTCCCGCCGCGAATACGTCCACTGCTACTTGCGCAGCTCATGGCGATCCATGTCGCCTGCACTTTGTGAGAGATTCGGGCTCCCACAGCTGGCTACCAAGACTGGGGTTAGTCACCTCGCTGCAGTAGCTTAGAACGGTAACATAAGTCCACTATGCAATGGTAAACAAACGAGAGAACAAGAGTACTATGCTCTCGTTTGTGAGAGATTCGGGCTCCCACAGCTGGCTACCAAGACTGGGGTTAGTCACCTCGCTGCAGTAGCTTAGAACGGTAACATAAGACCACTATGCAATGGTAAACAAACGAGAGAACAAGAGTACTATGCTAGGCTAGGCTTACTTATGCTAGGCCACCCAGTAGCGAGATACTCAGCGTAATGGGTTGGGCTCGAGCCGCCTTGGCCTTGGATTGGCCTTGTGCCAGATTTCTTGTCTCCCGAGGACCCTGGAATTGTGCCCGCAGCGCCTTGTAATCCCCCATACTACCAACTTCGCGCTCCTCCCAATGTCCCAACTACCTTGTGTACAAACTGAATGAAAATTACTACACTGCTTCTACACCCCAGTTAGCACAGTTACAGAATATAATGTACTTACCATGATATTCAGTGACAGCTGTCGGAGTCCCTTCCCCTCCTGCCTTTCACCTGCACCCTGTCCCTGCAGTACTCTGCTTGCTCCCCTTGTTCCTGCCTTATTGCTCTCAGTCCCCTTCTCCCCCTTTCCGCTGTGCACAGTCATTCCTTCCTTATCTTGATCTGGTTAAAGCCCTGTCTCAAATCTAGCGTGCTAAAGATTCCCGCTCCCACAGATGGCTGCTCACATCACAGTGGCCTCGTCACCTAGGCTGGGGTTAGCCGTCAGTCAGTAACATGTATCCACCGAGCAAACAAACGAGAGAACCAACTAAGCAGTGAGTTCCTAGTCTATTTGAATCTCTACCCCATGCCGCGCAGTTTCCCGTAACTCACATTGGGCTCCGCCCGCTAGGATTTAGGATTGGCCCTTCAGATTGCCCAGGGCTCGCCCTTGAATTTGTCCCACCCTGCGCCTCGCAAGTCCCTGAATCACCACTTTGCGTCACTCCCCACGCACCAAACTCACCTTCTACAGTACTTCGCATAACCCAACTACACCTACACTAGCAAGTAACTGAATCTATTGCAAACAACAATACATTCTGTGCAGTCACTCAAATGCTCTGCCCCTCAGCCCCCTCCCTCCCCACCTGCACCCAGTGGTTGAATGCAGCCCCCTGCTTGCACCGGAACTGCCTATTCAAATACGCTGTGAAGTTGCCCTCCACGAATGGAAGCTCGCGCACGCGGTGGTATACCACCAGGCCGGCGTCGATGTAGGGGGCGAGCACCACGTCCTGTGATGGTGATGGTGGTGGGGTGGGGGAGGAAGGGAGGGAGGTTTGGAGGGACAACAGCCCTCAGTAGCTCGTGCACACGGTGGTATACCACCAGGCCGGCGTCAATGTAAGGGGCGAGCACCACGTCCTGTGGCAGTGGGTTGACGAGACAGAATGCGTGAATCATGATTGTTGGTGTCACACTCTCTGGTGCTCGTGCACGCGGTGGTATCCACCAGGCCGGCATCGATGTAGGGGGCGAGTACAATGTCCCGTGGTGGTGGTGGTGGGTGAAAGGGAGGTGGAGGTACAACAGGTATGTGAATGGCTTGACTGGCTTGACTGGCACGCACGCACCCCCACACACTCACCTGGTCCTTGTCACTGCTCCTGGCCTCGTTGTCCCAATAGAGGCGAGTCACTTGAATGGTTGAAAGATCTGAGAGGCAGCAGCAGCATTGACTACCCCGCTCACACAACTGCTCCCCGTCACTGCTCCTAGCCTCGTCGTACCAGTAGAGCCGAGCCGAGTCACTCCCGTGGTTACGGCGCCTACAACGCAAACAGCAGCGTCATGACCCAGAGCACACACGCAAACCTGTTTTTGAGTCGACTCAAAAACAGACCCGGAGCACACACGCTAACCTGTCTTTGAGTCGACTCAAAAACAGACCCAGAGCACACACGCAAACCTGTTTTTGAGTCGACTCAAAAACAGACCCATAGCACTCACGCAAACTCACCTTGTCCTCATCTGCGTTCCTGGCCTCATCGTACCAATAGAACCGAGTCACCCCTGCATAGCGATGGTGCTCCAACCACTGCACGGGATGCATGGGAGACAGAACCAGAGCACCAATGCACCACCCCACTCACACCCACAAACCCACCTGGTCCTCATCTGCGTTCCTGGCCTCATCGTACCAATAGAACCGAGTCACCCCTGCATAGCGATGGTGCTCCAACCACTGCACGGGATGCATGGGAGACAGAACCAGAGCACCAATGCACCACCCCACTCACACCCACAAACCCACCTGGTCCTCATCTGCGTTCCTGGCCTCATCGTACCAATAGAACCGAGTCACTCCTGCATAGCGATGGTACTCCAACCACTGCACAGGGGAAAAAAGGAACAAACACGAAACCATGAGCAGAAATCGAAAAGACAAGCAATTCAACAATAGAATAAAAAACAGACCCCCACGGCATAGTACAGGCTTGAGATTTACTCACACAATGACAGAGTAGAGAGATTAAAACGGATAGTTGGAATCTCTCGAGCGGTGCTCATTGTAAGGATGTGATGTGAAGAGAGCCGAGCATGCCCTCCTCACATGCGCTTCCACATTTGAGGTGCCTCAAAACGGATAGTTGGAATCTCTCGAGTGGTGCTCGTTGCAAGGAAGCTGTTTTAGAGACTCTGAAAACACCCTCAAAGATAGTTGGAATATCTTGTGAGAGGAGCTCATTGTAAGGATGTGATATGAAGAGAGCCGAGCATGCCCTCCCACCAGCGAAGCGAGCTTGATTGGCCTGGCAGAGGCTTTCATTCCAATAAAAATCCTGTCCATTGTTGACATGGCAGGCAGGCGCTTCCTTCCAATTAAACTACGACGTAATAGAGCGTCGGATTTCACCCCTGATCTGGAAGCCCATCACGTAAGGGAATTCCATGAGACCGGATTTCACCCCAAATCTCGCACTTTAACCCCTAGGAGAAGATAGGTTATGGTAATCACCCCATGGCCCATCATAAAAACCGTCCAAGCAACTGTCAACACCGACCAGCTGTATTCTGATCTCAAACTATTGTCAGGATCAGGCTTTCACCCCCCACCCCGCAAAGTTTCATTCTCCAACCCGAGTGCGACCAACCGCGTCGAACCGCCATGCACCAACCGCCCAGACCGCAACCGCCGAAAGACCCTCGAGCGATTTCATCCCAACCGAGAAGATCCCCAGAGAGAGGTAGAGCCTTATAAGAAGAGAAGGCTCGGCCGAGAAATTATTCTCCATTTCTCATCCGTAAATTCCTGATTGAATTCCTAGCGCACCGCTTCCCAAGACTACCTTCATTCTTATGGAGATCACCCGACCCAGTTCGCCATCCTACCAGATTGCCTCGAAAGAGCAGCCCGACCCTGGAAATCTCACCCCTGAGAAGATGAAGCAAAAATTTGGATTCAATCTAGCTGAGCGTGGAGGCCACATCGAAGTTCTCTTCGATTATCATGTCGAGAAAGGAAAAATCCTACTCGACGTCTAATGATGCCCAGCAACCAGCTATGACAAGTGCGTCAAGGGTATGTACGACGAATGGATCTACCGCGAGTTCCCCATTGATTTCGGCGGGACGCCGAAAGCATAGACAGCGGGATTACAACTGTAACAACGTGTGAGTTGCGATAACGAGTTAACTTTCCGAGTGCCGAGTCAACGGAGGTGCCCAAGCCGCTTGAACCAACGCGGATGTGAATCACCGCCGGTCCAGGTGCATGCAGGATCAACCGAAGGGGCGCACGCAGGATCAACCGACGGGAAGTCCGAACGACAGGAGGTTGGGTATGGTTGACGAACCGTAGACAACCAATGGCAGTCCGGATGCATGGAGGTTACATGCGGTTAGCCAAGCTGCATGTAGGACCGAAATAACCGCTTATAAAGTAGTGCGAGTATAAAGAGTAGAGTAATTCTGAAAAAAAAAATCACTTTCGACTGCTACTCTTCTGTATTGCCTCGTTGATTATACAAAAGATTCTGCCTTCATCCCCTATGTTCACCAACGATCGCTGGAATTACCGGGCATGCCCAGATAGGCAATGAAAGATATTCTCCAGTAAGGGATCCCCTTGTGGATTAGAGACTGGGCGGTCATATCCGATTTAGAACTACCGGACTTGGGTGAGGCATTAGGTCATAACCCAAGACGAGTAGTCCCAAATCGGATATGACCGCATAATCTCTAATCCACAAGGGGATCCATTACTGGAGAATAGGTCTCACCGCCTATTTGGGCATACCCGGTAATTTGGCGATCGTTGGTGAACACGGGGGATGCAGGCAGAATCCTTTGTATAGTCAACGAGGTAATACAAATGAGTAACAGTCGGAAGTGATCTCATCCTCAGAATTACTCTACTCTTTATACTCGGAATCCGACTACTATATAAGCAGTTATTTCGGTCCTACATGCGGCTTGGCAAACCGCATGTAACCTCCATGCATCCGGGCTGCTGTTGGTTGTCTACGTTTTGGCAACCGTACCCAACCTCCTGTCGTTCGGACTCCCTGTCGGTTGAATCTACGTGCGCCCCTTCGGTTGATCCTGCATGCGCCTGGACCGGCGTTGATTCACATCCGCGTTGATTCAAGAGGCTTGGGCAATCGCAATAACCTCTCTTGACTTAGCACTCGTGAAGTTTGACTCGTTATTGCAAGTCACTCGTTGTTACAGTTGTAACTCCCGCCGTCTAAACTTTCGGCGTCCGATCGAAATCAATAGGGAACTCGCGGTAGATCCATTCGTCATACATACTCTTGACCCACTTGTCGTGGCTGGTTGCCGGGCGTCCCTGGGCGTCGAGTAGGACTTTTCCTTTCTCGACATGATAATCGAAGTGGACTTCGACGTGGCCTCCACGCTCAAATGGATTGAATCCAAATTTCTGCTTCATCTCCTCAGACGTGAGATTTCTGAGGTCGGGCTGCTCTTTCGGGGTGGTTTGGTAGAAAGGCGAATTGGGTCGGGTGATTTCCACGAGAATGAAGGTAGTCTTGGGAAGCGGCGAGTTGGGTATTCAATAGGAAATTGACGGATGAGAAATGAAGAATGATTTTTTGGCCAAGCTTCCTTTCCGGTTGGGATGAAGTCGCTCGAGGGTCATTCGGCGGATGCGGTTTGGGCGGTTGGTGCATGGCGGTTCGACGCGGTTGGTCGCACCTCGAGTTGGAGAATAAAACGTCGCGGGGTGAGGGGTGAAAGCCTGATCCTGAAGATGGTTTGGGACCAGGATACAGTTGGTCGGTGTTGGTGGTTGCTTGACGGTTTTAATGATGGGCCATGGAGTGATTCCCATACCCTATCTTCTTCTGGAGGTTGAGATGCGAGGCCTTGGGTGAAATCCGGTCTCGTATAATTCCCTTTGGTGATGGGCTGCCAGATTAGGGGTGATTTGGTGATGGACTACCTTCCGGTCTGATTTGGTGATGAGCGGCGAGTGGAGTCGCCTCACTATTGAACACTCGGTTGTGTTTTGAGTCTACTCAAAACTTGATTGGCATAGCATGGCATGGGAGGCGCTTCCATTCCAGCCAAACTAGAACGTCATAGAGAAGCGAGTGGTGTAGCCACAACAATCAATGTAACAGAGAACACTCGGCTATAGACCGTGCTGAATATGCTATCACTGCCACTGCAATCAACCTCTCTTGCCCCCCCTCACCTGCCACACATGCAGCGCCCAGAAGCGAGTATAGTCCCCATCAAAGACGCAGTTTTACACCATGCCTGCTATCACCAGCGGCCCCTCCACTGCTGCTCGTAGAAATAGTTGTGGACGTTCTTGGGCTTTATTGGTTGCAACTGCCTGTGATGCTGCCGGCTCTGCTGCCGCTGCTGCTGCTGCTGCTGGTGCTGCTGCCGTTGCTGCTTTTGCTCCTGCTGTTGCTGGTGTGGCAGTTTCAATGGAGCCAGGTGGGAGATGCAGGAATGCTTCACTTGTGTTGAAGGCACGAGGGTGGAGGCTGGGAGGATGGCGGGTGGGGCAACGGGGGTTGAGGGAAGGGGATGGGGGATGCGGGATGGGGACATGGAAAAAGAGCCGGCAGCACTACCAGCCGGGTTGAGCAATGCAAGGGAGCAAGGTGAGAGTGAGAGTCACTGGCAACTTCAACGAAGCCGGGTGGGAGGTGCAGGAATACTGCAGTCGCGTTGACGGCATGAGGGTGCAGGCTGGGAGGTTGGGGGTTGGAGGATAGGGGACCGGGGACGGGGGATGGGAGAAGAGGAGCATACAGAGAGAGAAGGTTAGTGTCATCGGCACTTTCAATGGAGCCGGGCGGAAGATGTAGGAATGCCACTGCACTCGAGCTGAATGCGCGAGTCTGCATGCATGAAATAAAAGCCAGTTTTGACCTGATTTCAGTGTGCAGCACTGTCTCACACGGCTCTCCGCCAACACTCTCAGCGTCAGCTTCAGCATCTGAAGGGCTTTCATCACCTCATGCTACATGCCTGGGTGCTCCTGCCACCACCACCATCCCCTCCTCATGCGTGGGTGATAGCACTGTTCACGTGCCACACAACAAGCACCCCTCCCACCAGGATTCTCCCTCACCAGCCTTCACCCCTCACTCACCTGCTGTCAGTATGCAGCACTGGCTCAACGTTCTCCTCTAACGATCACCTGCCAATCCTCAATGTTCCCCACCCGGCTGGTCCGGCACATCATGCCGCATGCCCCTGCCTCCACCAGTAGCCCCTCACCTGCTTTCATTGTGCAGCACTGTCTCAACATTCTCCTCCAACGATCTTTCAACTTAGATTCAATACTCTCCCCCAGCCTCAATACTCTCTCCCAGCCCTCTTACACTCAGCCCCCAGCCTTCCCCCCTCACCTGCTTTCAGTGTGCAGCACTGTCTCAATGTTCTCCTCCAACGATCTTAGATTCAGCTTCAGCATCTCAAGTGCCTCCATCACATCACGCTGAAGCTCTTCCTTTTCGCCCTTTCCCTGCTCCGATGGGGACCCATTTCTCCAACCCTCTCCTCCTCCTTCCCCATGTATCACTCCCTCTCCCTGCCCTAGCAGTTTCTCATTCTCCCGCCCCTCTTCTCCGTACCGCTGCTGCCTCTCTTCTTTCTCCACCCCTCTATCAACCCCATTGCCCCCTCTCTCTTCCCCATCCTCTACCCCATTGTCCCCAGCCACTCCTTGCCTTTGCCCCATGCCCCCATCCTCTCCCACACGCACTGCTTCTCTGTCTGCCTGCTCCTCTTCCTCCTTGCGTCCTTCCCTGCTTCCTCCCACCAATTGCTGCCCTGGCTTGCCACGTGGCACGATCTGATTGGTGCAGTAGAGGCGTGAATGAATGAGGAAAGGAAAGGGAGTGGAGAGGAGACGGAAGAGAGGACAGGGGAGAAGGCATATTAAGGGAGAGAAGCGCAGGAAGAGAAGGAAACGAGTCGATAACGAGAAGAAAACTTGGAAACAGGGAAGCAACAGGGGGAAGGATGGCGGTCAGGGAGAGAAGCAAAGGGGAAGGGAGAGAAGCAAAGGGGAAGGGAGAGAAGCAAGGGGGAGGAAGAGGAGGACAGGAAGAAGAGGAGAGGAGGGAGGACGGAGTGAGGAGAGAGAGAAGGGAGCGAGAGGGAGAGGGGTATAAAAACGAGGGAGCGGAAAAAGACGGGGATGGCGGAGGGAGAAGAGGGTTATGGGGAGGGAGGGGAGTGTGAGGAAGGAGTGGAAGAAGGAGAGGACGGAAGAGAGGGAGAAAGACGAACGGTTGCAGCCCAAGAGGAGAGGAGAGGGTAGAGCTTGAGGAACTTAAGAGGCTATTACAACCTGCTGTAGCTTGCGAGGAGAGGAGCGGGTAGAGCCAGAAGCAGAGGGCGGAGAGAGCAGGCGGTGGGTGGCAGGGTAAAGGTGCAGAGTCCACGTCAGCAGGCCCAGGGCCACGACAAACACCGCCGCCCAGGACGACGTCACTGCCGCCCAGCGCTGCCGCCTGGAGGAATGGCGACGGCAAGAGGGCTTCTTGGAAGGTGCTGCTGGCGGAAGGTTGGGGGGGAAATTGATCTAGATGCTGAAAAGGGGAGTTGTCGCGTTTACCCTTTTGATGGTTGGGTAAACTGGGAGTAAAACAAGCTGGCTTGCGGCAAAGTTTGCCATTTCCAGGCGAATTGGAGGGGAAATAAGCTGCAAGAATGAAGTATGTAACATTCCCCGAGCCATTGACAACTGGTCAGTGGTCAAACGGTGGGTAAATCAAGGTGCCTTTTGATTGGAATCTGGAGTTTGAACTTTGCAGAGCCATCTAGGGGGGAACTCGCCTGCTGCTCTGGTGGCTTCCGTCATTTGGGACGGCTTGTAAGAATACATGAAAAGAAGCACAGGAATGTAGAGAAGTTTCGCCGGTGATACTGATTCCCTCCGCGTCGTTAGCGCATGGAGATCACCGGCTACGTGTCACACTGCCATTCGTTGCGAAGAGAGCCATGGCTTTCCGAGTATGACGCAAAACTGTTGAGTCAGAAATTGTTGACTAGGTTACACGAAGCGTGATTGAGTCAGCCTGAAATTCATTTCTTGAATGAACATCAATAATACTCCTGGCAGGCCTTATTATCGCAGGTGTCGTCCGCGTTTCACGGACGACAGCAGTGATGGTAGTACTTTTGTTCGGGTCGGGAACCCAAGAAAGATGTCGCATTATCATTTCACGGGCCCGAGATTCGAACACGGATTCTGTCTCCCCGGCGCTCTGCACCGCAGAGAAAGCACAGATATTCTCCATGGTAAAGCTCTGCCGTAGCATCATGCTATGCCGTGAATCCCGTAAACCTAGGGCTCAGAATATTGCAAGCCGTCATAACGACTGTCGATTTCACCAGCGGCAGCGTTTTCTGTTCCGCGCAACCGCCCTGCAAGGCGCGGCAGTATCCAGGGCGCTTGCTGAAGCTGAACAGTCGCGTCAGCGAGACTGTAACAAGGCAACCCAAGCGACGCAAGGCAACTGTTATATAAATGCGGCAACTGCATCTGTGTCTTCCTTCATAACTGAGTACTGCTTTGCTAGTATTTGTTACGAGTGCAATTGAGTGATCGAGCGAGAATTGCACTATCGAAGGAAGAGTACAATGAGCGAAGGCATGAGCGAAGAATATATAGCGAAACTACAGTGGTAACGGTAATGGACTGTGGTTGTCGCGCGACGGGCAGGGCTGATTTTATCAGGGTAATTACCCTGATTTCAGGGTGATTTCAGACTTGTCACATTCTGGTCCCTGTAATTTCAGGTTTATCGTCTTCTGAACACTGATCTTGTCAGAGTAGTACTTTAGCGAACCCTGGAATTTTGTATACACTCACAGAGTAGTGTTCTTAATGACCCTGTCCATACAGAGTATGCGTCTTGTTGACCCTGAATGCAACGTTATCGTGACGAAGCTTCCAGGAACCTTCGTCCCGATAACCCCCATGTGCGTAATCATGATTACGCTTGCACCCATCTCAGGGCGTATCTTCACTTCGGGTCATGGCACTTTTTGGGTCATCCGAGATTCTTGGACAACCAATAAAGCGCATTTTAGCTACACTTCTGCAATATAATTGGTTCCCTAATGTCCCAAAGTGTACAGTCATGACCCGAACAGTGCAATGACCCGAATTGAAGATGTCAGAGTTATATAACATAGCTACTGTAGGCTATAGTGGGGTAGCACATATGGGGTACAGTTGCCTAGGGTTTGCCTTTTTGTACCCAACTTTCACTTAGTCATTTCATTCCTGTTTTCTTGATTCACATGGTATCAGAGCGGGTTCCTACATGGGACCGTTCCTTCCTAAGGGCCCACCATAAGATTTTTTTTTTTAGCTGCCCGCGCACATTGCGCCCTGCCCTAAATTTTTTTTTTTAGCGGCCCCTACGCTGCCCCTACGCGGCCCCTACGCCGCCTCTCACGCGCCCCCTATGCGGCCCCTGGCGACGCCCTGACGAGGCCCCTGCCGGCGCCCTATCGCGGCCCCTGACGCGCCCCCTGGTGGCGCCCTGACGCGGCCCTGACGCGGCCTGACGCGGCCCCTGGCGGCGCCCTGACGCGGCCCCTGCCGCGGCCCTGACGCGGCCCTGCCGCGGCCCCTGACGCGGCCCTGACGCGGCCTGCCGCGGCCCCTGCCGCGGCCCTGAAGCGGCCCCTGACGCGGCCCTGACGCGGCTCTGCCGCGGCCCTGACGCGGCCCTGACGCGGCCCTGCCGCGGCCCCTGGCGGCGCCCTGACGCGGCCCCCTGACGCGGCCCCCTGACGCGGCGCCCTGCCGCGGCCCCTGACGCGGCCCTGACGCGGCCTGCTGCGGCCCCTGCCGCGGCCCTGAAGCGGCCCCTGACGCGGCCCTGACGCGGCTCTGCCGCGGCCCTGACGCGGCCCTGACGCGGCCCCTGACGCGGCCCCTGCCGCGGCCCCTTACGCGGCCCTGACGCGGCCCTGCCGAGGCCCCTGGCGGCGCCCTGACGCGCCCCCTGACGCGGCGCCCTGACGCGGCCCTGCCGCGGCGCCCTGACGCGGCACCTGCCGCGGCCCCTGACGCGGCCCCTGACGCGGCCCCTGTCGCGGCCCCTGACGCGGCCCCGCCACCTACCTTTCCGGCCACGCCGCCTCCTCTCAGCGGCCCCGCCGCCTCCTCCCAGCGGCCCCGGACGCCGCCCTCTCAGCGGCCCCGCCGAGCCGCCCAGCAGCCTAGCCGCCCAGCAGCTGAGCCACCGAGCCGCCCAGCAGCCGAGCCGCCGAGCCGCCCAGCAGCCGAGCCGCCCAGCAGCAGAGCCGCCGAGCCGCCCAGCAGCCGAGCCGCTGAGCCGCCCAGCCGCCGAGCCGCCCAGCAGCCGAGCCGCCCAGCAGCCGAGTCGCCGAGCCGCCCTGCAGCCGAGCCACCCGAGCCGCCCTGTCCGGTAAGAGCAGCGCCTCTCTCACAGCACTGCCCTCACCCCACTGTTTGCGCTGCTAGTCTACTGCTGTCATGGCTACCCCTAGTGTCCTCGCTTTTGACGCTGAGGGTCGGGCCATTGACTTTGACGTCTGGATAGATGACCTGCAGCTTTTCTTACAGTGCGATAGGGCAGACGGCCTCTCCCTCTTTGACCTCACTTCTGGTGCCTCTCCTGCCCCCGCCACTGATGCTGACGCAACTGTTCGCTCCCAGTGGGCCACGCGCGATGCTGCTGCACGTCTTGCTGTGCGTCGCCACCTGCCTACCTCTGAGCGTGCGCACTTTAGCCAGTACAAGAGTGCTCAGACCTTGTACGACGCTGTAGTTGCACGCTACTCCTCCCCTGCCACTGCTGCACTGAGTCGCCTCATGCTACCGTACCTCTTCCCTGACCTTGCTGCCTTTCCCACAGTCGCTGACCTCATTACGCACCTACGCACTAGTGACACTCGCTACCGCGCTGCGCTTCCTGCTGAGTTCTGCGCCAAGAACCCCCCCCCCATGTACATCACCCTCTACTACATAGTCACCCGGCTCCCTGACTCCCTTCGCGTAGTCAGGGACCACTTCCTCTCAGTTTGCCCCACCACTCTCACCGTTGACCTCCTCGAGAAGTCCCTCCTAGCAGCAGAGAAGAGCATAGTAGCTGTAGGAGCCTCTCGTGGTGACCCTCGCACCCCCATCTTTGAGGGGTGTTCCCCCTCCCCCCTTTTGCCCTCTGTTGCCTCTGCTGCTGCGGCCGACCTCGTTGGGCTTGAGTCGGTCGGTGCGGCGTCTACCCCTAGCGGGAGACGCCGCCCTGGCAAGGGCAAGGGGGGCAGGGGCGCTGGAGGAGCTAGCGGGGGCGGTGGAGGCGGCAGTGGAGGCGGTGGAGGAGGTGGGGGTGGCGGTGGGGGTGGTGGCGGGGTTGGAGGTGTCGGTGGCGGCAGTGGAGGCGGAGGCGGCAGCGGCAGTGGCGGAGGGAGCGGAGGTGGCGGCGGTGGAGGAGGAGGCGGCGGAGGAGGTGGAGCTGGTCGGGGTGGCGCTGCGCAGAGGGTCGGCTCCGGTGGTGGTCAGCGCCAGCAGCAGCAGCAGCACCAGCAGCGCACTCGTGACATCCCCTCCCCTCAGCAGCTCCGTAAGTGGTACACTGCACGCCAGAGGGGTGGGGGTACTGGTCCGTGCACCTACGTCCTCCGCACCGGCGACCGCGCGGGTGAGCAGTGCGGGGGTGCGCACTCCACCCAGCGCTGCTTTGGCCGCCTGACGGACGCTTGGCGTCACCAGTTCCCTGAGGCCACTGAGATCCCCCGCTGGGGTGAGCTGTCTAGGGCGGGTGTGGCTGTCTTTGACCTTGACTTTGATGCTATTCTTGCTGCCATGTATACTGTGACTATTAGTGATGAGGGTGACTGTTACCGGTGTTTTCCGCCCGACCCGGGCATTGAGACTGCTGCTCTAGGTACTGGTGAGGCTGCTGCTCTAGGTGCTAGCGAGGCTGCTGCTCTAGGTGCGTCTGCTCCCTCAGGTGCTGGTGAGTCTGCTCTCTCAGGTTCTGCGTCGGCTTCGGCCTCCCACACCTTCACCCTTGACTCGGGGGCTTCTCGCTCCTTCTTTCGAGACCGCACCACACTCACGCCGCTTAGCCGGCCAGTTGCAGTCTCTCTGGCAGACCCCTCTGGGGGTCCTGTCCTTGCTCACTTCTCCACTGTCCTCCCGTGTCCGGCGGCCCCCTCTGGCACCCTGTCTGGTCTTTACCTTCCCTCGTTCTCTACGAACTTGGTGAGTGGTGCTGACCTACAGGATGCGGGGGTTCACCAGTTCACTCCTGCGAGTCGGCGGGTGACCCACTGCACGGACGCTCGGACAGGCCGACACCTGGCCACGTTTACCCGTCGGCCGGGGTCGAGCCTGTACACCCTGACCACTGCGTCTCCTCCAGTCACTGCGTCTGGTCAGGTAGCTGCGTCGGGTCAGGTGTTTGCTGCAGCGTCCAGGTCTGGTCCTGAGTCTGCCCCCTGTTCGTGTCGCCTCCTGTCTCACGAGACTCTCCTCTGGCACCACCGCCTTGGTCACCCCTCCCTGCTTCGTCTCCGAAGCATGGCCTCCCGTGTCCTTGTCTCTGGTCTTCCCCGGTCCCTCCCTCCCCTTCCTCCGGGGCCTGGCCCTACCTGCGTCCCCTGTGTCGAGGGGCGGCAGCGGGCTGCCCCTCACTCCTCCCAGTTTCCTCCGACAGAGGCCCCGCTGCAGACGCTTCACATGGACGTGTGGGGCCCGGCCCGCGTCCGTGGACAGGGTCACGAGCGCTACTTCCTGCTGGTGGTTGACGACTACTCGCGTTACACCACAGTCTTCCCCTTGCGCAGCAAGGGTGATGTCACTGAGGTGTTGATCGC